CTGTACTGCTCCGACTGGCAACATGTATAAACACTGACAATGTTGGTAATGGTGAAGGTGTGAAGAAACTGGCATCTTTATATATTTTTGGTTGTAAGCTATACTGCCTTTTTGGAAAGCAATAGGGATTTTCATTAACATTAAATATTCATATATCCTTTGATTGAATAATTCTACTTCTAGGAATCTATTTGACTAAAAAGACATTTTGCATACATATGCAAATGGTGTGTGTACAAAGAATACACAGCAGTGTTTTGTGTAATCATAAGAAACTGGAAACAATGTAAGTGTCTGTCAATGGGGACATTTTTACATAAATTATTAACATCAATTCTATGCAGTCCCTAGAAATAATGAAATAGATTTATATGCGCGGAGATAAAAGATGAGCACATTTTAAATGACCAAATTTAAAAAGCATGTTGAGTTATAGGATGTATGTTATAATTTTCATTATGTAGAAAGCATTAAAGGTTGGTGTGTATATCTACTTATGGTAATGTGTAATATACATTGTATCTTAGGAAATAGGCACTTTATGTAAACATTGTAAATGCAAAAAAGAGTTCTGGGAAAATAAAAGATAAACTTTAAAGAGGCTACACATTGAAGAGTTTTAGGGAATAATAGGGCTGAAGAGGCAATCAATTATTTATGTTCTATGATTCTATGTTATCTATATTTTTATCTGAGTATTTATTACTTATGTGATCAAAAATAAAACATGAGGCCTTAAATAAATATGTAAATATAAAGTTTTAAAGTGGTTAAATTTTAAGACTTTGGCTTAAGATTTTTAGATATTTGTTTTTTTCCCAAATTTTCTGGATTCCACATGGTCAGCTGTGCAAGTTTGGACCCGGTGGCCTAAAAACATGAAAAGAGAAGCAAAGCAGAAGGAATTGTGGTGGCATGACCATCTCCCATAGGTGGTGCTTTGTCATTTCCTTCTTCCTCTCTCTGTTTCTCTTCAGTGAGTGCATACGCACTCTAACAAATTTAAAAAAGAGTTTTCTAAACATTTTATTTTGCATTGATAAAAAAATAAAAACCAACAAAAATAAAAACTTCTAAATCCTGGATGATGCAGAAAAAGCAGTCATGTGTCACCAATTACCTAAAATAGAAGGTATGTTCAAACTGGAAGAGAATAAATTCAGAAAACCAATCTGAGATTTCTATTTCCTATGTATTGCGGATGTTACAGATAGGTAAAGATATTACTAAATTATCCAGTCACTGC